TTCCGCACTGAGATAATGAAACATCCCAAAATACAACCCAAAAATTTCGTTTTTAAAACATTATTAAAACCATCAACCATCCAAAATCATAATCATGTATCATAAAACGTCATAGTATCTGTCTTAAATCAAAATCTCATATATAAATATCAGAGTCTAACTCCCAGGCTGAAGACTGTGGTGTGTGCCATGCAATCATCCCGAGCCCTTCCCAGTGCTAGTGGAAGTACCTGAAACCAAAACTGAAAACAGTAAGCACAAAGCTTAGTGAGTCTCCCCAATCTACCTCATACCATCTACACATAGCATGTAACTATGAGATACGGGCCTCGCCCACACTCGTGGAGATACGGGCCTCGCCCACGCTCCGCTAACTGGGTGATACGGGCCCCGCCCACACTCTGATATCTAGGAGATACGGGCCTCGCCCACACTCCACTGTCTAGGAGATACGGGCCCCGCCCACACTCCACTATCTCTGAGGTACGGGCCTCGCCCATGCTCAGCTACTTCGAGATACGGGCCTCGCCTACACTCGGCTATGATGAGGTACGGGCCTCGCCCACACTCAACTACTAAACCCAACATACAAGTATCACACAGACAACATGTAAATCTAATCTACGATTTATACATCAAAATCAACTACTACTATGAGATACGGGCCTCGCCCACACTCTGCTAAGATAGGATACAGGCCCCGCCCACACTCAGGTACTTTCATATCATACTACGGGTTGGCCTTGGTGTCGTAGACCCATTCCTACTGAAGGAAAACTCACCTCGTATAACTAGCTGCTGATATCCCGAGTGAGAATGGATCTTGTTCATGCAACTTCGTTTTTGAGCTTAGGGTTGCCACCCTTGAAGCTCAAAGTGTCCCTTAAGCAGTAAAGTTGCAAGCTTTGGAGCTTTTATGTAGCCATGCATGAGATCTAGCCATTTACATGGAAGTTTATTGATATTTTTAGAGTTGGGTCCATTTGGTGGGTTGCAAGCCATCAAGTGATCGACTTTATGGGTTAGGATGAATTATTGGACTCAGATCTGTAGTTTGGACGTAGTGTCTTAAGGGATTAAGCGGTTTTGGAGAAAATGGCTTAACAGGAGAGTACGTTGGGCGTACACGCCAGTACGCGCATCGTACAGAAGGGTACGCTCAGCGTACGCTCAGACAGTGGGCTTTATGTAATTGGGCCTCGGTTTGGGCCAGGCCTTGGATATAGCAGTAATTGGGCTAAGATAGGCCTTCATAAGTCAGTCAAGGGTCCAAGGACTTGTTGGGCCTGTGAGGAAAAGCCCATTTGAGAAGTTGGGCCCAATTTAGAAAATTGGGCCATTAGTGGGCCTTAGGGGGGCCATGAGTGGACTTATAAGGACTAGTTGGAATTGGGTCTTGGATATGGCCCAAAGTTAGAGCAGGGGTAAAATGGTCATTTTACCCTTAATGGGATTCTCAGTTTTTGACTAAGTGTTTATTTGGTCATAATAGCCGGAGTGTAGTTGGAGCAGCAGTTAGAGTTACCTTGCACGAGTTCTCAGCAGCCAGATTGAGAGGAGAGTTTCTCTCCAGTAGGAACGGGTCTAAGGCCACAATGTCGGCCCGTTTAGATGTTAGTAGTTCCGGAATTCGGTCTGATGTCGGGGCGGTCCCGAGAAGAGTATATGTATGCTTGAAGTCTTTGTGATTCATGCATGCTATGTGTTACGTGTTCCGAGGCAAGCCCGATGTATGTTAGCTTATCTGTTATATGTTATGTGTTCCGGGGTAAGCCCGATGTATGTTAATTTATATGTTGTCTGTTATGTGTTTCGGGCTTCGGCCCGATGTCGGGGTAAGCCCGATGCAGTTTATATGTTATGTTATGTGTTTATGATATATGTTATGTTGTGTATGTGTCGGGGTAAGCCCGATACCGGGGCAAGCCCGATGTCGGGGTGAGCCCGATGCCATACGTAGTCTAATGCCGGGGTGAGCCCGATGTCGGGCAGGAGTCTGATGTCGGGTAAGCCGATGACGGGTTCGTCTCGATGCAGTTGGGAGTAGTCCCAGATTTATGCTATTTGTTATATGTTAAGTGTATGGTATGTGGTAGTTTGGGGGAGCTCACCAAGCTTCGTGCTTACAGTTTCATTTTTGGTTTCAGGTACTTCAGCTAGCAAAGGGAAGGGCTCGGGTTGATAGCATGGCACACACCACAATCTTTTTGGCCTGGGAGATGACCCTGATATTTTTGTCACATGTTTCTAGGAGATGACTCTGATATTTTTATCACATGTTTTTGTCACAGTATTTGATATGATGTTTTGAGATACATGATACATGGTTTTTCTCTATGATTATGGATGGTTTATGGTTTTATAATAATTTTCAAAACGAAATTTTTGGACTGTATTTTTGGGTTGTTTCATTTTGTTCGATAATACTATAGTGGTCTACTAACATAAGACAACGATACTTGTTACTTGTGATTCAGTTGTTGAAATAAATAATGTAAAAAGAGTTTTTTTTAATTATTAAAGGCCTTGGTTTGTTTAGAATATTTGTTATGGATTAAGGTAAATGAAACTATTGTTACTCTTTGTGTGTATCAAAGAAAATATTTCTTTGAGATTTTACATGAATTTAGAATGCTAGGTTGTAAACCTATTAAAAAACTAATGGATCTAAACTTGGTGGTTGGTTGTTAAGGCTTGATTCGAATGACAATTTACTTACAAATATTTTTAAATTACAAAATTTGATTGGTAGGTTCATTTATCTTATGATTACCTGCCGTGTACCTCTCTTATCATTCAAATTTTGAGGCATTTTATGCATTCTCCTTGAATGGCTTATTTGCAACTTTGTGTCTTTAAGCCTAAAGGCTTCTGTAAATGCAAACTAGGGCAAATGCATTGATATTAGAAGATGTGTCACTAGATTTTTCATATTTTTGGATGAATCTTTATTTTATTGTAAGATATGAAGTAATCTACCATTTCATGGTCATCCAATGAGTCAGAACTCTCAAACTTTAACTCCCATGGTCACCATAGCTTCTTTCGCGGTTTATTTTTTCCTCTGCCTTCCTACGTATAACGTTTAAATGTCAAAAGCCGACTAATTTCATTCAACCCAACTTAATCCTCAAATTTCCTAACTCCTAAGCATACATGTCTTCAGATTCAAATATATTTTTCACATAATTACTAACTTTCTTTATTGTTGGTATGAAAATATATAGCACCCTACGATTTTAATCTTGGTGTTAGCAAAAGCGAAGCTAAACTTGCGGGTATGTAATTAAAGATAATTTGTAGCTTTAAAGTAAAGAAGCAAAATAGGGAAATGAGTAAACAGAAAAATAAAATACAAAAAGGGCCCAACCGGGTTCGAACCGGTGACCTCTTGATCTGCAGTCAAATGCTCTACCACTGAGCTATGGACCCTTGTTGTTTACGTTGTTACATATTACTTAATTGTACTTTAATTACGTAATTTTAGCCTCGTATTTAACATATAATATTTTAGACACATATTATCCCGTTTATGAAATTACTAGAATTAGAGTTCTTATTGAACTTATGTGTATGTAAAATTTGGAAATTTGTTAAGTGGAGGTGAAAACCACATTCTTAAAAGAGTAATTTATGAAATAAAAATTATATAAATCAATCAAAATATCTTGTAAAAGCTAGAAAAAAAAAAAGTATGCAAACATTTTAAGTCATATGGTTCCTTTATATGGTTTCCAAAATAGCGGTGACAAATGTTTTTGTGTAAAACAAATTTGTTTGTGGTCCTCTATTATTCAATGTTTAAATGTAGACATTATTTTAATATTTCGGAGTAACTTACATGTCATAAATGATGTGAAAATTGAAATCATCATTGCGTAACAAATTTATGAGAAAGGACCTCGGTCCTACTGATATTATTTTGGGTTTTAAGTTGATTAAAAACAACACTGGGTTTTTTTTTTTTTTTTTTCTTTTGACTCAATCTCATTATATTGATAAATAAGTTTAGTTATATTTGTGTGAAGCTTTTAATATCTTAATGATCTTATGACCCTCTCCTAAATTAAAAGAAAAAAAAAAGATCATGTGAATACATTCTTGCATCTAAATATGTTAAAGTAATTGGTTCTTGTTGCATTTGTCAAGTCACTTTCATAAATTAAAGCTTTTAACACTACTTGAAGCCTTGAAGGATACCTTTTAAAAAGTAAATCACCTAGTGGATATGTTTACAAAAGGGTCGACAGTTTGACACTTCAACAAGTATTTGAGTCGTTGAAGGAAATGAGATTGAAGTCCATCAACTAGTCATAGTAAACTGACAATTCCCAATGATTAAAATTACTAATAACTCACATATAATGAAATGATTTGCATAAACCATTGTGGTTTTATTGAGTCAACATTTCCTTTGTTTAAAAAAAAATACTGTAATGTACTTTACATTAAACTCACAAGTTTTGAAAAAATAATTTCATTGAAAAGCATGTTAACTATCTACAATAATCAATTTATTAACAATAAGATCGTATTTAATATAATCTATATAACTATTAAAATCAACAAGGGTCCATAGCTCAGTGGTAGAGCATTTGACTGCAGATCAAGAGGTCACCGGTTCGAACCCGGTTGGGCCCTCATTTTTATTTTTTTCAGTTTGTCACCCAAACTTTTTTTCCTCTATCCCTCTTTCACTTTCAGAGTTTTGCTTTTCCATTACGATAAAGTTCGTATTGTCACATCACACGTGTAAGAAATATTTTTTAAAATCATTGCATTTGACCAAATGTTGTTTTTTTACATTTTTGATTAAAAATAATCACTTTTAACACCAAGATAAAAGTTGTACAAATATTATCATAAACTAATACTAATATTGATACATTCCAGTTTCCACCAAGAAAAAGCACAAAAGAAAATTTTATTTCTTGAACAAGGAAAGCAATCCACAAAACAATGACAGCATCAAAAAAACCAAAATTGGCACAAGAGCTAAATCACATGATCAAAACACAACAAACTGTATAGCCATTTGCAGACATTGCCTTTCTATTTCTATTTCTATTTCTATTCCTATTCCTATTCCTATCTTTAGTAGTATACTTTTCTATACCTTCTTACTTTCCTCCTATCAAACCTAAAATCAAAGGTTTATCCCCTTTTCCCTAGCCATCTCAATCACTGCATTTGCCTCATTACCACATAACCCAAGGTATGATTTCCACAGTTTCAACGAATACGGGTATACCGATAACGCCCTTTTGTGAAAACTCTCCAAAATCGACTTAAACTCCAACATCTTCCCTAACACCCCCCCTGCCTCCACCCACGCAGACTCCGGTGCCACCGGAACCGCCTGAAACAGACAATTCATCAACACCGACCCCGCCCAAAAACAAACACTGTTACCGTTACTGTTACTGATACCAGCACTGGCACTTGATTGTGTAAGCATCTTACACAGAGAAAGTGCCAGCTCATAATTCCCGGGCCTCAACTCCATCAAACCTTCCACAAAATCCACAAATTCCGCTGCTTTTTCAGAAACTTCAAACGGGACAAGACACGGGCCAAAACACGATTCGAGAACCGTGTTCATTAACGAGAAATCGGATGAAACCGGACTCAAAAGATTGTTCATGAGTTTTTGAATTTTAGGGTTTTTGATGGTTTTGATGAAGTTTCTCGAGAGTGGCTCTTGAGGGCGTGTGGCACGTGAATCGGTTACATAGCGGTTCAACCGGGTCAAGAAACCAACCGGTTTGCTCAAATCGGATCCGTTTTTTTGAAAAAACAGCGCGTGCTCACTGACACAATGGATATAGTCTTTAACAGAGGCAACTTCTAAGGCTTGTTGGATTGCAATTTGGGCTTCTGTGTGTTCGTTTTGTAACTGTTTATGAAGTGAGAGGTTGAGAAGTCCAAACACAATGTCACCCTGGCTCGAACTATTTAAAACCCATCGTTCCATTAGCTCTTTTGCAAAATCGGTTTTTTCATTCCGAAGGGCGTTTTCGGCATATTGGTTCCAAATACACTGTACGCCAGGTTTCCCGGCCCAATTCGTTAAAGCGTGTTCGAAAGCTGAGTCGACATTGACCGGGTCAAACTCGTTGACCCGTATCGACAGAAGCACGAGTTCAATACTCGAAGGGTATAACTGTAAATACTTGTTCAACAGGTTCTTGGTAGAGTCGAAACCTTCAAGTACAGCTGTACATCGGATGTGATTAAGAGCAAAAAGGTAGGACTGGGATTCTTTGAGAGTTAGAGAGTCACTGATGAGTTCCATTAAGGCGACAACTTGCTGTTTTTCATCAAGGGTTAAATTGACAGAATGCCATTGAAGTCCGGGCAGCTCTTTCGGGCATTCGAATTGCTGGAGTATGGTTTCGGGCAGTTTTTTGTACATGATCAAGTATATGGAACAGATCCATAGGACACATTTGTCAGAGGTTGTTAGGTGTGATTGGATATTGAAATCGGATGGATTTTTTGTTGAGGGTATGAGATCGTATACTTTTCGGATCGCGTTGTTGACTTTTCCAGAAGAAATTAAACAATTTATCATTTGTAAAAAAAGATCCAATATGCACGCGCTATTGAAATCAGGAACAGATGCATGACGACATAGTGCTGACATGGCAGTGTTGTACCCGTGTAATCTGTCATCAAGTTTTTCCCGGCTATTGATGAACATCAGCCATAGCTCATATGATGAGTCATTGTGCTCAATCTGAAAACCAAAATCAATACCTTTGTTTTATATATAAAATAAAAAAAAAAGCAGAATCAATTTAGGTACGTACAGCATAGTGAAATAAGTCATCTTTTCCAATTGACTTCTGATTGCTATAGTAAATGTGCAAATATACAATCCATAGAAGTACAGATGTAGGATGTTCCTCAAGGGCTCGAGCCAGGACTATAAGAGCCTGTATATTTTTCATTTTAAAATATAATAATTAAAATAATAATAATATATAAGAGATATAAGTATAAGAAAGATGAAAGATGAAATACCTCTCTACGTCCCTTCTGTTTGTTGACATCTCTAGTGAGTTTAAGAAGAGCCATTTCAAGTGGTTGATCAGTGTCATCCATATGCTGATCTGGCAGACCTTCTTTGAGATTTTGACTATGGAAATATGATGATTGCCTATTCCAACCTCCATGGACTTCAATGCGTGTTTCAGGGCCATGAAGATATGGTTCATCTGAGTGCAGATCTACAAGGAATGAAGTTGAAACAACCAATGAAGCACTGAAATACTTCTGCCAACGTTGTTCAACAGTTTGAGCTAAAAGATACTTATAAGGATGTGACTCAGCTTTCAAGCTGTCTAAACACACAAGGTAAGTAGGTGGAGCCAAAGGAACACAACCATTTCCACTCTTCAATACTATTCCACCTTCACCATCTGCAAACATAACACAACAATAAAACTTCATTACACAAAAAGAAAAAAACATATTGTATTATCTGATCATGATTCATATTTCATAATTCATAGTTTCATACCATTGGATGAATAATCTTTAAGATGTTGCCATGGACACTCATCATTGTTGCATTTACCTCGTAGCTCAAACATGCAAAGAGGCCATGAGGGGTCGATTGGTAAATTGTTGGAATAAGAACCAATTTCACCAACATTAATGTCCAACTTTGAATTGGAAACAAAATCAGTAATATCAGTAGGCTGTTGGTGTTGGGCCCCACAAACCTCTTCATCAACAACTTTCGTCTCGTCTGTTTTTTTTAACTTTACATGACTGAAAGCACTCCTGAGAATCGGATCAGTCAAAGATTCATAGAAGTTTCCGGAAGCTTCCATTATTTCCCCATCTTCTCTTTCTACAGCCAGCTCCATGTTCCGACTCTGAACAGATTCCATCTTCTTGGGAATTCTATTGCCTAACCTAGCAAACAGTTGAGACCTCAAAGTTGCTTCTAGAAGCAATGAATCCTCAGTGGGGTCCACCACGGATATTGAATTTTCATTTTTAGTCCTTTGACTCCTTTCGCTACACGTTCCTTCATCTAGACTGGAATCAGCAGCTTTAAGCTCAAATGCAGATGTCTGTTCATCATCATCATCATCATGAAGTGAAGAACAAACATCGTTTGCTTTATCTTCTTCTTCTTCTTCTTCTTCTTCTTCTTGAGGCTCATCTGATGTGCTAGTATCAGGTTCACCACATGATTCAGTAGTAATCAACTTTGGTCCAGTGTGCTGACATGGCATTGGCATGTTTGAGTTTGACCAGAACATGGTTGAGTCTTCCATGACATGAGACCGAAGATTAGCTGAAAATAATTCGCGTTTATGGTAAAGATAGGCACATTTAGTGTTGGCTTCAGCTAATGCCCTTTGGGCCTTTCGATATGCTTTTAGGGCATTTCTTTCTTCAATTTCACATTTTCTACGGTGTTCTTGAGCTTCATCTAGTTCCTTATCTTGTTGTTCTTCAATCTCAAGTAGTGATTTGAGATCCATGTCAGCAGTTTCTGAGATGTTTGTGGGACCATAATGATTCCAGAAAGTTGGATTCTTCAAACGTGCCTTCATTGGTTATGCCATAATAATATCTTTTCATTTATTCTTGATATAAAAACTTTAAGAATCTATATTGTTATTTACATAAACAGAAGTTTTGGTTGCAAAAAATTATGTGTACCTGTTTATGTGGAGAAGTTTTAGTGGTTTTAGCCACTAATGGTGCAGAAGACTCCACCATATTTGTGATCCTGTTATGTCTTCTGCTATTCCTGATTATACCAGTACCTAAACAGCCAACAGATATCATGTAGTATGATTTATAATTTCTCTAATGATGATGAAAAAAAATTAGTATAAAACAATTCATAAGTTCTCTTCCAAACCTGATGGGAGATTAGTTAAAGGCATGTTGTGATTTCTCACTTTTTTTGTCTGTTGTGTTACACTGGGATGTGCTGTATCTTTGTCACTATAGCTACCATCATATCTACCCTTTGGCCCATCACTTTCAGGGGCAGAAATGTCCGCTACAAATGTTGACTCTGTAGGAGGCCTATCTTGTTGGTCAACAGACATTTGGGTGTTTGTAGGAGGCTCAGTAACTTTAAGACGCTTCTTTTCAGGCTCCTTTGGTTCCATAAGTTCAGCAGAATCTCTGCTCCAAACAACAGTACCTTTTGAGTTCATATTTTTTATTGAACTTGAAGCTTTCTTCAACTCATTTTCACGAATTGCAATCAACTGCCTTAGGTCTTGGAGTTTACTGCTGTTGATATGAACATTTGGGCCTACTTTGTTTTTGCTAGGGGCATTAGATTTCTTGATATGAAATGTGTTTCCATTATTATTCTTGGATGAGGTTCCATTAACTCTGTTCATTGATGAGAGAAATGTACGACTCCCAGATAACTTTTTGGGTACTTTGGTGTTGGTTTTGGCAAACTTTTGCACCATTTGTGGATTCCTGTTCCCCACTGAAATGGGTAATTTTCTATTCTCCATAACTCCCCTTGTCATGTCGTCAGATTCAATTGTGTTTTCCATGTGTTCTTCAGAGTCACTGCCACTGTCATCATCTGAAAAACTAATCACAAATGGCACTCGATTCTTCTCTGTACCTTTACGATTGTTAGATTGAACAGAAGTTTTTAAAGCCACACCAGAATATGTAGAATTGCGAGTTAGACCAGATTTCCCTATCATGTATGCATCCTTGTTCAATGGAACCCGTGGAAGAGTGGTGCTATCAGGGAACTGAGAACCTGCAAACTCCTGGAGAAATCCATTGTATCAGAATGAGAACAGTTCATATTACCTATAATAGGTAGAACACGTAAGTTCCCCCAAAAAGGCTTCCCACTACAGAGCAACTCAGTCGGATATACATTAATTGCACTTACACCTATAAAGGACAACATACTAAATGAATAACATACAGATGTATGACGTCAAGCAACCAAGCAAATCAACTAACAAAATGGTCATAAGATGACTCAACCACTAGGGTAAATAAAATCAAACATTAAGAAGCAACAACAAAAAGAGCGGAACAATAATCCACAGTAGGAATCGATATTAATCTGACGCCTCATTAAGCAAGTACGCAAGCAATATTGCTATAACTGGATAGAATATTAAACATACCCCGCCTAAAAAACCCTTCGTGAATAAAACTAAACTGGAAAACGAATCAGTGAATAACGATACCAAAAACCTAGAGAACGAAAAACATGAGGATTTCACCAACGACGTCTCTGATGTAATCAAATTAAATGAAAGTATCCAGTGAAAAAAATCTAAATCAACAGATTTGTATGCGTCCAATTTTAATAATGACGGACTTTAACAAACAAAAAATTCATTGAAATACTCTAGGGTTTTATAGACGTACGTCGTTTTCCGAAGCAGAAAGCTCGCCTTCTTCTCTGGTTTTCGATGAATTCGCGAAGACTTTTGCATTGGTATCATGATTGGATGTCGTAGGAGGAGAAGGAGAAGTTGTGGTGGTGTTCTCCATTTTCAATCTCTCCCGCTCTCCTCCCCTTCGCTGCGAATATCTCTGTATGAATGGCGGTTAAAAAAAATGAAATATTCGAAGTTTTCATGAACTAAAAAAACTGGTCAACTCATAATGCTTTTTCTTTTTGTTAATTCCGTTTAGATGGATTTTTATTTTTACAATTCGGATTCGGGATTTCATTAGACGAAATTTAAAAAAAAAAACACATGGTAGCTTAAATTTTAGTCAATTAAATTAGGGATGAGCATTAGAACCGTCTGAACCAGAACTGGAATTGGTAACAAGGTCCGGTTACCGGTTCTCCATTTTTATGAAAACCGGTCCCGGTTCTAAAAATCGGAACCGGTTTGACATTTTTTTCGTTTTCTAAAATATGCATAACTCACTCATATGAAGTCGGAATTATTTGATTTTTTTTCCAACATGTAATTTGGAGTTTGTAGTTCATTTTTTACTGTACAAACATATGTTTTGGTTAGATATTGAATCAGACACATGCCCCGAAATAAAGAATATCGATGCTGCGTTTTTTCTATTTGAACATTTTTTTGTTTTTTTGAATCTGTCATATTTTTTTAAATGAGCATAACTCATTCATATGACGTCGGAATTACTTGATTTTTTTCGATGCATGTAATTTGGTGTTTCTAGTTTATTTTAGACTATAAAAACACATATTTTGGTTAGATATTGAATCAGTTATAGACATCGGAAGACAACATATCAATGCTGCGTATTTTCTGTTTCAGCATTTGTTTTTTGAAATCTGTCCCGCTTTTAAAATGCGCATAACTCACTCATAATGAAGTCGAAATTACTTGACTCTTTTTTCATCATGTAATTTAGTGTTTGTGCTAGAATGTAAAAAGACATAATTTGGTTAAATATTGAATCATTTACAAGCTCCGGAAGATAACATATCATCTATAATATTTTGAACCGGTTCTATTTTGAAAAATAACCGAAAAACCGGGACCGGAACCGGAACCGACGGTCCGGTTCCCGATTCTTATAATATACAAATGTGACATCCCCTAATTTCTCGGCCAGAAAAGACCAATTTAATTTATGCTTTTAAAATAAAGTAAGAGAAATCCTTTTAAAAGATGTTGCAGAATTGGTCCCCAAAACAAAACATGATAAAAATTTATCAAAACCTTTCTTTAAGAAAGTATATATTTTCCTTTTATATCAAAACCTCGGGATGTCATGTTCCAATACAGATCAAAAGCATAAACAAGACATTATAAGCCTTACAACAGTTATTTACAACTACTGGTCTATAATCCATAAATCTTTCATCATCATCCGACTATGCTCGGGGTCCACTACCTGTAATATGAAAAGTTGAGTGGGTCAGGCTTGGGAACCTGGTGAGCATATAGGGTTTTCAACCCACAATAATAATAATAAACTTATTAAGTTCATCAATCAACAATAACCCTGATTACTCATTCCCGTTATCCTCACTTTACGTCCCTAAACACCTATCACAAGGGACCTGGCCTAAGGATTTTCATCGGGGCGACAACACTGCTTTGGGGGTTTCCCAGCAATTTATGTCAAATAAGGCAGCCATGTGGAGGATGGAGTACAGCAAATGAACACCCAAGCTCATTAACACCTACAGGTTGCGAGCCTGCCAGCGTTCCACTGGACTGTCTAGAAAAGTCTGTGGTCGTCATCCATACTCCGCTAGATGATTGGATCACAATAACATTGAGGCCTCTCATCATTTTATTTCATCACACATCAACTATCTACCCATGTTTTACCCAACATATTTGTAGATAAAAATACATATACGGTTTAATTTATTTAAAAAATCTGTATAAATCATTCATTCATCATCCATCTCAAATAAATAAACAATATATAATCACATAGCACGTATTTTATATAAATTATTTCATATCTATGTGTAAGATGAAAGTGACTACACACTCACTCGATAAGACGATAATCGGGCAGCACTTCGTTTCTTAAAACGATCGTTTCCAATAAAACCGGGGGCTTTAATGAAAAACCGGGCCCTGTGAGGGTGGAGCTTCAAAACCGAAAAGATAAATTTTTCCGGGTCTTCGGGCACTTCGGAACATGTTTCGGGTGTTGAAAATGATATCGGGGCTTCGGGGAAAGTCAAAATGATAAAAATATTGTTTAAGGGGTGAAAAGTGGCAATTTTCCAAATCTAGCCTGGAGATCTCGCAACCCCCCTATTTATAGGGTGCGAGACCGAAGTTTAGTGGCTAAGAAGGCTCGACGCGGCAGCTGCGAGGCTCAGAGGTGGCTCGGATGCGAAGGGCGCGTCGGAAGCTTGTAGGCGAGATGTGGCTCGCTTCGGACAGGCCATGTATGCGACACGCGTCGGTCTCTGATTGGGCCACGCTCCGGACTCATCATCAGCATCGGACACGGGTCAGCAGCGAGGCGAGGGTGACGTGGCCGAACACCAGCCATGCGAAATTCCTCGGATTTCGGACTTTTCTTGATTTTTGTGCCCCGAACTTCTAAAATCAATAACTTTTGCATACGGGCTCCGTTTTTTACGTTCTTCATATGCACGCGTAGACGAAATTATGCTCTACAACTTTCGTTTAGACTCCGTCGGCTAATTTTGATTTATTTTTAATATTATTATTTTTAACAGACCGAGACAGGAAAATCCGTTAAAAATTCATAACTTCTTCATCCGACATCCGTTTTCGTCTATCTTTTTATCGTTACGCTACTATTAACGAGATCTTCGATTCTCGTTTAGGTTGTGTCGGCTAAAAATCACTTGATCTAAAATTCGAGTTTTTAGTTGTCTACTGCTAAACTGAAACTTAGAAAAATCATAACTTCCTCATACGAAGTCAGATTTGGACGTTCTTTTTATCAAAATTCTCGGTTTAACGAATACTACAACTTTCGTTTACATTGCTAAGGCTAAAAAGCACTTTATCGTAAATTCACTTTCTACGTCACACAGCGTCGTGCCGGTTCTGTCGCGAAACTTCGACAGGTCATAACTTCTTCGTTATAACTCGGATTTCGGTATTCTTTATATCTCCGGAATCCTTGTTTTGGCCACTACAACTTTCTTAACAAATATCGGCTTTATTTAATATTTATTTTTCAACGCTCATTTTTATCCTTAATTCATTAATCATAATAATTAAGCAAATAAGCACATAATTCACATAATATTCACATAATTCCTCTTTATTACTTTAAAATGAGTTACAAAGGTTGACCTAGACTATTACACCATTATTAATGCTTTAGTCCAGAAACGCGGGCATTACAATTCTCTCCCCCTTAGGATGATTCCGTCCTCGGAATCACACATCAACAAACAAATACGGATAGCGACTCATCATGTAACACCCAAAAATTCAAACCAATTTAAACTTTTAAAAACATTTCAAATCATTAAAAATCATTACAACTTTGTTTTCAAAATGCATAATATCAGAGTTTTCCCAGAAACATAGACAAAACATGTGGAGCTGTACGATCACGCCTTCACCTTGCCGCGATCCCCTGATGTACCTGAAACAATAAACTAAAACTGTAAGCCCGAGAGCTTAGTGAGTTCCCCCAAAATACCGATACATATACAGTCCACATATACACATCATAACAAATTGAACAACACGTAATGGGTCCACAGCCTTACAAGTTGGATTCCCCTGGGCCCTCAGTACGAGTCTGGAATGCCTACCGGGACCTCAGCTCGTATCTGGAATGCTCTCGAGTCCTCAATATGAGTCTGGAATGCCTGGCCAGGTCCTCAGCTCATATCTGGAATACTCTAGGGTTTGTTGGCTACCGCACGGAGCAGTACAACCTCAACCCATCCCACATAACATATAACACAACTACTGAGCATGCAATAATCATATAACATCACAGGTAGTCCTACAGATCTACCTAACTGGCATAACCACTAGCATGCAACACTAACTGATACTCAACGTAACCACTGCTAGGACAACATATACATTGGGTCGGCCTTGGTGCCTTAGACCCCTTAGTATAGTGAGGATAACTCACCTTGCAACTGTCGTCTGAAACTAGAAAGTTCAATTCCCGGATCACCAACACGGACTCCACACCCTATAGATACCATAAAACCCTTTTTCATAAATCTCCAAATTACCAGAATACCCTCAGAAGTCAACTGGTCAACTCTTGGTCAAAGTCAAAGTACACAGTCAAAATCAACAGTCCATGTTGACTCGACTCGTCGAGTGCAGTTCACCGATTCGTCGAGTCCTTCCTGAACTCGAGAAGTCGTGAAATCCTTGATTGGCTCGTCGAGTTCCCCTTTAACTCGCCGAGTTCATACGTGTCCAAGAATTGGGAGAAACCCTAGCCGACTCGCCGAGTCTTCGAACGACTCGCCGAGTTCAAGGCAATCTTCAACGAACTCGCCGAGTTGTTCATCCAACTCGTCGAGTTCACGACCATCTTCAACGGACTCGCCAAGTTGTTCATCCACTCACCGAGTCCTTGCAGACCTTTATCCATGCAGACGCTTTTTAAGCCATGACAAGGTTCCAGATTACAGATCCAAGCTTCTAAGGCATGTTTATCACGTAAAGTTGCAAACTGTATGCACATGCAAGGCTCTAAAGGCCCTAAATGACCAATCTAAGATTCTAATGGAGATTTACACCTTGGGAGAGTCTCATCCTTACACAAGCTAGAAACTTTATGGACTCAGAAGCCCAAGGGAGCTCAGTTCTGAAGTTACAACTTCAGATCTTAGCTTGCACACAAGAATAGCTTCCAATCATACCATGAAAACCCTAGAATTTGTCCAAAAAGGGGATCTATAATGAAATGAGGTCAGGGTAACGATTTATACCTTCCAGAAGATGCCCAATAAGGTAGATTTCAGATCCCACAAGCTCCTTGCTTCTGAATACTTGCTCTCCAAGCTCCCTTCTCCACAAAATCCTCTTCCAAACTCAAGAATACACAAATGGAACACACACACTCGATTAGGGTTTGAGAGGGACAAGAAGCAGTAAAGGGGAGGCTGGGGGAGGCCAATGATCCTTTATATAGGGTGCAACCCTT